GTGTGCTGTGGCTGTGGCCTATTTCTCGAGTACGTCCTATGTCCGATGGCATTGTAGATGGAAGATTTTAGAAGCATGGCTGGACTGGTCGCTTGACTAGCACTGTCGGCTGGAGTGGGTGTGTGGCCACCACTATGTCGGCCTGACTGACTGCTGATACTTCCAGTCAACAGAGACGGTGTATGCGTTGACCAGGCCATGTGTTTGGGAACAATAGGGAACGGCTGGCACTGGTGCTTGGTTCCCCGCGTTTGCTGCGTGCCACCAGTGGGGTTGGACCTGTCGCCCTCCCCTCGCCCAAGGCCACAGTGCCGACCTGAACACCGTTACACCTTAGACTTTGACAAGCAAGTCAAACTAGATGAGCGAAACCACAGAAGTGACGACCTCCTGTCGCAAAGACTGACGCACAGAAAGCATGACTTGTGGGCTACGCTCTTAAAGCTTGCTTGCTGTTGAAGCCCAGCAAGTCGTTTAGACTCGGTAACGTGGACCAGATATCCTTTTGGTATACTCATGTATACTCAGATCGAAAAATAGTTGCTTCAGAAGTCTGCATTTCCCCGAAAATGCAGGCGGCCGGCGGAAACGCTCCCGGTGTGGGAACGCGCAGGCTTAACGAGCTGCATCAGGCCTGTACACGTAGCAAGTAACGAAGCGGTGAGGCTGAGCAACATGCTCTAAGAACGGTTCAAAGAACAGTCTTGCAGGCAGAAACTTGGCAAAGTTCCAGTCTGCCCCATTCGCTGCTTGGACGCGTCAGTTGCAAGGCTGGACGCTGGTTGAGATCTAGCACAATAGCTCCGATGGTGCAGTGAGCAGTAGCAGTGGCAGTAGCTGCAGCAGTAGCAGATGGTAGCAGGAGCAAGAGCGGTAGCGGCAGCAGTACGGCATCCGACGAGTGCGAATGCAAACATAAGGAACATTGGTGCAGCTCGCCGCACACTAGTTCGATTTCAATGCCAAGCAGCGCCAAGAAGTTATTTTTGATCCCCACCCCGAACCATCAATCTCGTGTTCTGGGCATGTGATTTACCATTGGCTCGTGCCTGCTCCCACTATTCTGTGTTGGCTTTACTGATACTAAACCCTCATGAACATCTACATGAGCAGTGACACCAGGAGGAGGCACAGACTAGTGACTGGTGATCGTTGGAGAAGGGGGAAGTAGGAGTAGGCGGAGGTCGACGATTAGCAGCTGATTAGCAGCAGGGAGGACGAGACATAGCAAACAGCAGGAGCAGCAGAAGCAGAAGTCGCGCCATTAACTGGGCCACTGGGGGCATGTTGAGGCCGGACTCCCGCTCCAGACAGGCGCGGGACCGCGCAGCTTGATGGTATTTACAAGGGCTGGCTTTGTTTTCTGACGTTTACTAGGCACAGTTTCGACCGTGAGCTTGCGTGCAGCACACAGAGTTGTAGTATCATGAAATACCATCTTAGTCAAGCAGCTTTCTCTGTTTCCAGACAGGATCGACTGCCGCTGCTGCTCCTAGATTAAGGTTAGAACGCACACAGGTGCCAGGCCCTCCAAAGCCAGTGGCAAGCCAACCACGGAGCGCGCTGCTCCGAGTACAGCAGGACTGCAGATATCTGCGGAGCGGTCTAATCTAAGCATGTCTGAGCATTCTCGGCACATGTTTCAGGAGGGATTCCTTCGATGGTGGCGTGCAATTCGGATGGACCTCGGCAAAGAGGACCGCCAGAACTGTTCACCACGATTGCACACAAATTCGTGTTTGGCGAGCCAAGCGTGTGCTAGAGCCCGGGTTGAGCGGAAAAGCAGTTGGAATTCTTGTTGCAAGCAGGAGCTTGCAGAGCAGCGGCGGAAGGCTGCACTCCTCGCATTGCTCTTACACAGTCAACCGCAAGAAGACCACCTGTCCTTGACATGGTCAGGTTTCCCTTTCTTTGGAGTGGATCTAGTACTTGCACTTCTGTTGCTGTGGTGGGCGACTATATCTGTCACTGACTGTATTGCAGATGTTGTGCTCACCTGTACCCTGCTGTCTTGGGTTTTTGCTACTGCCGATATTTCCACAAACCCTCGAGAGATGAGTGCACAGAGCAGCTGTGCAGTCAAGTGTAGGATGCCGTTTAGCGTGCTATGCGCATGCATACACGCAGACACGTCTGCATACGGGCTTGTTGCATCTATCAGCTCGAGGATTCAGCAATGCGGTCGTCACCATGCTTGCACAACTCGCATCCGAATCTGCTCGTCGAGGTTCTTTTACGTCAACGTTCCCAAAGTATGATCGCAAGGAACTTGGCAAAGGAGCCCTGATGGAATTCTCTCGAGTGGAGTGGTCCACTCCAGGCTGTCCGACACTATGTGGCAGCGCTGCAAAGAAAGGCCAGTGCCCTGGAAACGGGCAAGCCGCGCCAAGCCATCACCCACAGAGCTGCAGGCCGTTTCTGGCTTCCAGCGTGCTGCAGACGAGGAGGAAAGCGGTCTTGTAGCAGGTTTTGGCTTGATGCGTAAGGGCAACCTTTTGAGGCGATATCCCGAAGGCTCTCGAGACGTGCCAAGTCCCGGCGCGCAAACCGTGCATCTCACAGGACGCACGTAGGCGCCACGGGTGTAGCACCATGTAACACCCACTTCCAGCTTCCGGCGGGTGCGAGGTTTGCGAGGGATGTCTGCTGCAGAGGTCATGCACAAGGCACCGCCCAGGGATGGAAGGCGAAAGGTATGTGCAGCTGAAGTTGCAGGGTTGGCGGCGCTGGCGATATGCTGTGTTGTCCGGTCAACGCGTCTGCTTCTCAAAAAGGGTTTCGGTCATCCGTGGCAAGGCCCGCTCGCAGCATCTCGCAGCATGCTCGCAGGTTGTTTGCCAGTTCGAACGACCGGCAAACGTGACACTGAAGCACCGCGCTGAGGGCTTCCCAGCTGCTCGAAAGTCCCGCCGGCCGACCTACATTACGTCGCTACTCCCGCTTGGCTTGACACTTCTTGGCGACCAGCTGTGGCACATGCGCAAGAGAGGGGCTTCAACCAATAGATTCAAAAGCAAGCTTGTCGATGAGTAGCACCCACCTGTAGCAATTGACTGAAACATGTGTGTGTGTGTATATATATATATATATATACACACTGAAATGAACTTCCGGGACGAGAGCAATCTTGTCTGGCTAAACCGGCTTAAGGTCTTCACAAACGACAGAAGCTGGATTTCATCGGTGGATCTCACCGATGCTGAGGTTGTGCCAGATCGCATCGGAGATCGATTCCTGCCGGAGCAAGGCATGCAACAAAAATGCATGAGTCTCCAAGCTCGAAGTCAGGGCGACATGCGAGCAGGTTCCAAAACCACTTGCAAAGTGCTCTCACAGGTGCATGGCCTGGAGCCATGTACGCCACTGGTTCGCTCGTCAAGTGTGGACGAGGCACCTTTCCGCAAATTTCCTGCCGGGTATTTTTTGACTGCAGTAAGTGTTTCATCGAATCGGTTGTGGGATTCAACAGTGACGGCTCCACACTACAGAGGCCTGGTCTGTTCTGGCCTTGCCACCTCCAGCAGAGGCATGCCCCGCCGAGTAGTTCTTGGCGGAGTCGAGTTGCACCAACCCTCACAGGCAGTACCAGAGGTGCCGGAACATCTGCGGCTGCTATTCGATGACGAGCAGACCGGCTGGTTGGGTCGTCTCTTGCCAGCCAGCGTTGAGCAAGACTCGAGACTACGAGCTCTCCAATTTTTAGCTCTGACCGCCTTGAGGCACATCCAAGGGAGCTTCGCCACCCTCTGTCTTGTGGGAGCATGCTAGCACGGTGCGGCAGGCACTGCGCGACATTCAAATCTAGTGCTGAGCTGTCTCTCCGAGCACACCTTAGCTGCCCAGGGTGCCGGTGGTGCAGGACATGAAAACTTCTCGGGGCGGCGAGCTCGAGAGCAGGTCCGTGCGCTTGTTACAGGGGCACACTTCGCGAACCAAGGTGGCCTGCCGACGTCGTTTGGTCTCCACCGCGACCTGCCCGTCCTCCAAGAGGCCTGCACACAGCGCTTTCCGTTCTCCAACCTGCTTAGAATTGGCAAGGCACAGAGGGCTGGAAGGACGGCCTCTGTAGCACCGACTCCCCTCGCACAGAGGAGAGACGGTTCTTTCTTCCATTTCTTCCACAATAGAAGCAGCATACGTTCGTGTTGCCTGGCTCAGGACGCGCCTGGCATCTTGCCGGATCCGCACTTCGTGCCACAGCGGACCGAGGTCAAAGAGAGCTACCAGGCGAGATAGCGAGACCGTGGTGCATTGCATGACTTTCCTGCCCAGTGTCCTCGTTGCCACAGACCCTTCGCGGCCGGATTCGCACTAGCCGCACATGGGCTCGCTGACAGACAAGAGAGCCAGTGATCTTTGCTTTTAACGATTTTGCTCACCTGACCTGCAGCCATGCAGGCCGAATAAAGGCTTGCCTCACTGCGCAGGGGCCGGTTGCATGTTCTTATGCTGATCTGACGATTCTGAGAAATAAGCGAAACTGCCGTCCTGGTGGCTAATGTCCACCCACACAGATTGACAGAGGAGCAGCATAACGTGGGTAGAAGTGCACGAGGGAATGTGGACCCTGAGAAGCGGTCCCACCTTGTCGTTCTTTTCAAGCTGCACAGAGCAACGATTGGCAATGTTGCGATCCCAAGCCATGCAGAGCCTCAAAGGAGGGCTCTGAAGCATGCCACCGAATCCAAAGTGGTTCGAGGTAAACCGTTCAACGTGAAGGATGGGGGGATACGGTTTTTGCAGCGGTCTGTTGCATTTCCAACCGGTGCGGCTGCAGCTTCTCCCGAGAACGATTAGAGAGCATGAAGCAATTTTGATTACGAACGGTGCAGGGCAAGAGTGTTTCATAGTTGGTTTGTCGTCTTCTCGAATGCGAAGGGTTTCTTCTGGGTCAGTGGCTTGCAGTGCCGACTCTGAAGCTCTGTTCTGTTGGAGTTTGTCGAGTAGGCCAGGATGCACTGTTCCAGATGTAACGGGCAAATGGCCCTCAACTGTGCGAGGTACCAGAAGGCGGCTGAAGGCTGTGAGGATCGTCGAAGTTTACTGATCTTCAACGCAATTCAGTACGATATGTGATTGTATTTATCGAATGAATTTTGTGTGTCCGACGTATCAGTCTTGTTGATGTCACGTTGGCTTGCAGCACTTCACGATGCTGCGCCAGCTCAGCCGAGGAAGGAGACCCGGAACATCCAGTTCGAGGTGGGCACGCAACACCTCGTATCAAAACAACAACCGTAGCAAGTACCAATAGACAGATGAACTCATGCACATACATGCAAATGAGTAAATGAGTGTGCTTATACATACACGCATCATTACGTTTACACCAACTAGTATGTGGTTCACACTCGTTTAATGTTTGATGTTCACGCGAAGCTCAGCCGTTGCTTCACCTCTCTATGATTAATGCTTCAGTCTACTAACGCCGCCTGGGCTGAATAGAGGACCCAGGATCGGTCATATCACTCACAACAGTTGCACAGATTTTACCCTGCCTCCAGCTGTTCTTTTTGTTGCCCTGTAACTGTTCTCTACGCAACCGACCTCGGCTCAAGTCCCCAGAGCATAAACGTGTTCTGCAGGGTTGACTTAACGGATTGTAGCTGCTGGTAGCCGTCCTACCTCAAACTTCAGGTTATCAGCCGTAGCTAGCTCTGATGGCGTTGGTCTCCAACATTGGTAGTACTGGGAATGAGAATCAGGGCACCAACGTGCAAAACTATTTCACACAGTTGCTTGAAGAGAACAAAAAAACTGTCAAGACAAATCCAACGCAATCGGACCTGCTGTTTTCCGGATGCGCATCTTTTCCCTAGGGATAGGGTTGAGTGACTTGTGAGGCTGTGCATCTTCCACAGATCTTTTGCCAGCTGATACCGCGCACAATGCTTCTACAGCCCTTTAGGGGCTCCGGATGATTTCCGGGGTGCACGCAGCAAACCCGGCGCTTGCACAGAGTAGCGGCTACCTAGGAACGGTTACTTCGCAAGAAGGCTAGTTTGCGCACAGCTTCAAAACTGTCCCCGTCAATCTCTCTTGGACATGGTGTGGTCAGTAACGACTGGACCTTGGAGCACGCAGCCGAAGAAGAAGCTGAAGCCCGGCACCGTATGATGATGGACGTTATCTATACGGAAGCCAATATGCACTTCAGGTCTCTCGAGGCGCATGCAGACGCCGAGCACGCCAGGCGATTAGCATTCATACAATAATTAGGGCACCTACATCTTGGTGCAGATGGCTGCATACAGGGCGGAAGCTGAGCAGTTTCAGGCAAGCAGCACTTAGCTCACCTCGCAGAACAAACATGTCACTCACAACTCGTGCTCTCCACTTCGAGGAGACAGCTTTGAAGCACAAAGGGCTACAGACAGCGCAGCTTCGTAAATCGTTCGACGATAACCGATCATCGCTTCTCGAGTATCTGGCACTTAAGTTTGAGGAAAAGCTTCAGTGGGAAGAGAATGGGTGTTTTCAGAGATTGAAGGCTCAAGAGTTGCAACTGACTTGATGAATCAGAATGCTGAGTTGCAGGCTGAGGCAGACTCACGAAGGACCGGAGTTGCAGAGAAAAGGCATAGCCCAACGCAACTTGGAGCCCCAAATGCTCGTGGCACCGGACCAGTGCTTGAGAGTGAGTTGCAAAGTCCTAGCCCGCCGCAAGGTGGTGCCCAACCGTCTGTTGCTGCAGCTCAGGGTGTTCAAAGTACGGGGAATCCGCGTGCACCCTTCCCAACCCCCGACAGATTCCCAAGGAGCTCGAGGGAATTCTAGGGAGTCGACAGGTATTGGACATTGGTGAAGGGCCACCCGAACGGGAAGACCAGGCACCCGAGAGCGAGCAGAAAGCTAGCGAAGCTCCCTAAGCAGAAGCTACTAGTGATCTTCTCGCCTCTGTTTTCCGAGCTGCAATCGGTAAGACCGATGACGATAAACCGAAGGCCAAAGAAACTGAGTCCGTTAAGCTCCCTGACTTCCCTAACCCGGGAACTTACAGATCGTGGAGGGTCGCAGTACGCGAGGCTGAAAGGGCAGCGCCAGACAAGCCAGACGAAGCCTTTAAATGGGTTCAGGAGGTGTATGAGCGGTCGGCTACTTTGGAGTCTTATCGGGAGACGGGCAGGCTTTTTGCTCCTGACACTAAGATTCTGTCCGCTTTGTCGCCGGTCGCTAAGGGCGAGCTCGCAAGACAGATCATTAATTACAAGGAGTCGGAAGCTTGACCTCAGCACCTTCATCCACAATTGGGAATCCGTCATCGCTGGTCTTAATCATCAGCCTGCGGAAACTACAGTGAGGGACATTCTTCTCCGTGAGCTTCGGGGTTCGACCAAGTTGAAGTTTGATTTGGAGGTTTATGATCGAGCCAAGGAAGGGGATGAGAAGCACACGTATGATTATCTTGTCAAGTGGGTGAAGGAGCTGATGACCAGAGAAAGAACACGCCGAAACCGAGCAGCCATAGCTAAGGCCCCGCAACCTCTGATGATCCTCCCACAAATCCGAACACTTCCCGAGGTCGTGAGCAAAAGAAACCCTGCTTTGCATTCCAACTGTGGCAAGTGTCCCAAGGGTAACAAATGCCGATTTGGACACGTGAAAGCCGATCAGTCCAGAGGTCGAACACTCCCGAGATCCCCCAAGGGAGGACGAGGCGGTAGTGCCGGCAGCGGAAAGGGCGGAGGCAAGAGCAAGGATAAGTCCAAGATCCCTTGCGTGTTCTACCCCAAACTTACTAGCAAGAACCGCAAGAACTGCCCATTCCTTCACAAAGATGCCAGCCCCTCTGTCCCGGCTAAGGGTGATAAGGACGGTAGGCAGCGAGCTCCGTCACCGGCCAAGCCCAGGCGCCCCAGCAAGAAGAGAGGAAAGAGTGCTGACAACAAGGCAGCGTGTTGCCTTGCCTCAAATGCCAGCCTCGCGTGCGCGCCCGAGTTGTCTTGCGTAGCTGCCCGCAGGGTGAGGCCGGTCCTAGAGATCATTGGGTTGTTGATGAGGACAAGGGCATTTGTCTTCGCATACATCAGACGTTCAGGACCAATCTCTATGTCCCTCAACCTGATCATTGTCCCGTGCCATTTTGGCGAATGAGAATAGCAGGCCTGAGATCATCGACATACCGCTTGAGGACGAGTGTTGGAGTTTCATCAAAGCAAAGCGATTGCATGAGTTCAAGTTCCCCAGGAGCTAGGACCCCAAGCCCGATCCCAACGACGCGAATGATGCCCTGGAATCTGCACTCCATCTTGAGTCAGCAGTCAATGGCATCAGACTTGTATGTGTCACAACAGGGACGGATTTTGTACGAATTGCAAGTGCGCAGGCCCTCTCCCGATGATCGCGACGCCAGCAAGTTCCAATGGATCCAACAGTGAGATCATCGCGGATACTGGTAGTGAGGAGGACCTGATGAGCAACTCCGATCTCGATGTTCATTTCAAAGAACGCTCTAAAAGGATTCCTTCAAGCGCAGTGAGTTTGATTACTGCTAACGGCCCAGTGGAAGTTGACACCAAGCATGAAGTCCACATTGAGGCTGTTGATAACCCGCTGCAGTTCGTTCAACTCCCGAACACGCCCGCAGTTTGCTCTTCCCTCCGATCTTTGCGTCTTATCAACGATGTTGGAAGCGTGCCAATCGGCTTCACCGACATGGGGCTTTCCTGCATTTATACAAGCTCGCTTTGGCATCGTATGATTTCTTCGAAAGCCCAAGGCAACCTGGAACCAGTGTATGCTTATCTGCCTTAGCTGGAGCTGCACGGCGAGGGGGGTGTACATTTTACCCTGCCTCCAACTGTACTTTTGTTGTCCTTACCTGTTCTCTACGCAACCGACCCGGGCTCAAGTCCCCAAAGCATAAAAGTGCTCTGCAGGGTTGACTTAACTGATTGCAGCCGCTGGTAGCTGTCCGACCTGAAACTGCAAGTTGTGCATGAATAAAAGGTTAGGTGAACTTACACGTAGTGCATATTTAGCTTGAACTCAAGTGGATTAAATTGTCCTTTTCGTGTGCACGTAGTGTATATTGCATTGTTTCGAGTTTTTTTACACAAGAAATGGCACTAAAGTTTCAGCAGCATTCCAATAAGCAATCGTAAGGTAATGTGTCTAACATGTTTAGATTGGTCGTTAGTGGTAGCTTGTTCACGTTCTCGTATTTGTTCTTCCCGTCCCATGGAAACAACCGAGGGGCATTGTCGTAAACAACTGGGTGTTCCGCAAACAGCAATGTTTGAGTGAGTGCCTTGTACTCGTCATCGGTTCATGTCAGAAAGTGCTCAGGAAGTATTCATGATAACGACAGTCGAAGTGGAGATCCTATGTAGTTGTCTACTTGCCAACAATCACGCTGCCACCAACTATGGGGTGAGACAATTGATGTATTGCACATGAGCGCTTGTCAGACACGTTTTAAATGCAATGTTAATGTGGTCACACTTTCTCCAAACAGCAGCGCGCTATTGTAAAGCACAGTAGTGAACAGCAAACGATCTGGGGAATGTTTGGGTCTGAATCAGGCGAACATCAACTAAAGTTGATTTGACGACGAGATGATATGGAAAAATGAGTTGAATGTCACATGTTCAGGTGTATTGTTTGAATGCTGGATTTTGCACGCAGCTTCAATATATACGTTGAAGCGGTTTTGTGGCTGCGACATGCATGCGGCGTCATAGTGCAGCCAAGCATTTGCCTTCTTGAACCTCTGCAGAAGTCCGCGCAGCCCTTTCAAAACCTGGGGGGCGGTGATGTAAGCTGCAAGGGTTTGCTATCAGGGGTTTACATTTTCCCTTCCATCGATACACCCTTCTCCTCTTCAAGAGCACCCCTGGAAAGGATTTGGGCTTCACAGAGGAATGGAAAAACAAGGGAGCTGGGTTTGGCCTCGTACAAGAACCGAACAACAGACAGCAGCACGTGATTGAAGCCAAAAAGCGTGACAGGCACACGCAAATGACAGAAAAACTTAGCCAGCAACCTAACTGAACAGAAAACGCCTCGGAGACAAAAATTAGGAAACCCGCAACACAAACACCTGAAATCTGTGGTCTTGTCTCCCGACATCCCGTGAAGCAGGTTGTTTGTTTTGTTATCGCGAAGGTTTTTGGCGGCTGCGCTTTTCATTTTGATTTCCTTTTTTGGTTTCTGTGGCGTGGGCACCGGAGGCCGCAAGCACTTCCATCATTCCACACCTTATGCAATCCTCCCAAGCACAACCCCTTCCCGTCAGAGTCCACAGTATCTGTAACATCATACAAAATCGTTTTGCTTCTTTTCTTGAGTCACTTTGTGTGGCGTAGCTGTTGTAACATACTCAGATGCCTCATGTTTTGGTAACATCCTCTTGGTGTACGGCAAAATAAATTCAGCTCCAGTCGTTGCCAGGCTGTTAGCTCAAAAGGAAGGCAAGTCGAATTTAGAGTGTACCCAAGTTGGCCATTCCATGGCTTGAGTAGACCCTCAACGATTCTCAAGTGTCCTGGTTCAATGCCAATGTAAGCATGCCTCACCAAGCAGATGATTGAACTATGAAAGCCTGACAATCCAAGCTGTCCCGTTGTTTCAGAACAACAAAAAAGAAATGGCTGGGCAGCACATATCAAAACTAGTTTTTAACAGTTGTGTAATTGACACGAGAGATGATTCCGCACGGTTCTAGCGAAGCTAAATTTCTGGGCACTTTTGAAATTGTTTCATCGTGCTGACTTCTTTTTGTGTAGGCTGATTGCGTGATAGTTCGAGAAGCAGTTCTGGCACAATTGAATGCTCATGTGTTGTTTTGTGTGGGCCTGATGTGTGCAATTGACTGAGAATCTTTAATGCTAATCTTCAGAATTCCAAGCTATGCAAAGTATGGCTTCTGCATCTCTAGCAAAATACACTTCAAGATGTGGTAACTCTATGGAAAGGCCGAAGCGCAGCTATAGCTCACGAAAAGATGCAAAATCAAAACATGTCTTTTCCAAATCACGTTAAGGATTAGATCTGTTACATTTGTTTCCCGAACAGCGTGGTGCCCACAGGTTCTAATGGTTAAGAGTAAAGGGTATTGGTCAGTGACACAGCGGCGCTCCCTTTACTCGATGTATTTCTCGTTGTTTGTAGAGGGACCTGGTCGACGAGACGGATGGTAGGTGAGTAGGTCGGTAGGCAGGGGTAGGCATAGTCCCTCCATCCCTTCCGTTCTCTATCATCACCGTGTGAAGAATCTACACACACACACACCCTCTCTGCCCGCACTTTGTCTGATACTTGCGTGGTGCACAGACACGAAAGGTTAGCAGATGGATCATAACTACAAATACCATGACAAATCAAACGTACATTTAATGCAACTATAAACGAGAAAGCAGTATAGATACAAAATTGCTGTAAAGATGAACCTACGAATGGATAAGGATGAAGTTATGATTGTCACGATAAACACGCGAACTCGTGTATGTATGTATGTATGTATGTATGTATGTATGTATGTATATATATATGTTATAAATAAATAAACAAATAAATAAATGAAAATAAATAAATAAATAAATATATATATATATATAGAGCCTTCGCCCAGATGTTTTTCTTGTTTTTTGTCTTCCCTAGGGCCTAGGAAAAGTTAGTTTTTCATACCAAAACCATTTTTCCTAATTAAGACCAAATTTGATTTTTTCGATCCAAAGTCAACCTTTCTCTAGGAAAGGTTTGTATTTCACTCCAAGACCAGGTGCTTCCTAGCAAAGAGTGTGTATTTCCTTTGTTGTTTGTGCGTTACGAATTAGTGTTGCCAATAAGGTTCCAGTGTCACTACTATCGGGATCCGAATCCGCTTGGGGTTAATGCTCTACAATACAGCATACTGGGCAACAGCCAGGCCTGTGTTCGGATCAGTTTTGGGGTCAACATACAGCTAGTATTGCAGGTTTTTAACACAGACCAGGACCCACGATATCAGGGTTATCAGCGCTCCCACTACGATTTCTTCTAGCTGACTAAGATTGTAACTTAAATAGCTATGGGTCGTCTTAGAGCTGCTGTCAGAGCGAATATTATGGTCACCATTGACATAAGGGCGACCGACAAGGATGGGGTTAGGGTTGATATAGTTTGGAATCGGGAGTCAGTTAACGATCATCGTCATTATGTTGGTATTTAGTACTTATTTAACCTTAGGGTTAGTATGTGTATTTGTGCATACAGATACGCGCATACGCGCAAGTCCGACAACAAGTCCGACATGATCACATACCACAATGAGACAGGGGATGCCATATACAATATGTTGAGGCACACGAACACGTGCTTTTAGGCAGGCGAAGACAGCTACGGATTGTGGTTCTTAAAGGAATGCGTTTCGTGTAGTAAAGATATTAGCATGAATTTGACGGCTACTCTTGAAGTAACTGTTCGGGCAATATTTAGTTTACCTGTACTAATATTACCAGTAAAGTAAATAGTGTTGGGAATGCCATGACTTTTATTTTCAGGGGTCTTGACGAATGCTCATGCAAGGGATACCGCAGCCACATCCGGATTAGTTAACCTGTTGGTGAGGCGAATGGTCGGGGCTCCCCTAAGGCCAATTTGGGTTGGTGTTGAGGAACGGTACATTACGAAGGTTACCAATGGGCATAGCTTAAGCGGACCTCTTTTTCCTTACGATCGGGTGGCCAATCAGGGTCAATGTATGTCATTATATCAACCTTCAGGTCGATATGGGAGTTAATATGGGGATGTATAATGGGGCTATTAGTCGGCGCGGCATAGCATTTTTTAACCCGTACGAACCACGACTTTGAGTGATAAGGCATCCTTTTTGGGTGAAGATGAAACCGAATACGGATGTCACCACTGGGGCCAAAGTAAGGTCTAATGACAGAGTTAGTCTTAAGGGTATTGTTGTTTAGGAGTAAGAGTCAGTCAAGGCTAGCGGTCGTCAAGGCTAGCGGTCATTCATACGTATTGCTGGGGATTGGATCTGAGACTATTGTGAAGGTTATTTGGGGAGTCAATGATCGAATACTCGGGCCCATTTTGAGCTAGACGGAAATGAAATTTCACCGTTGGAGAAATCGTCTTTCGGAGTATCTGCATGAAGGGTCGCTAAGGAATTCAGAATGAAGGCGGCTGCCGATAGACACATGTTCTCCCTGCGGAACTTCAGGACCTATCGTTCAGCCTGGATCATACACCAGAAACATAAACGTAGGAGGGGAGTCTTGCATATATATATATATAGAGTCATATATATATATGTATATCTATATATAATATAGGAAGTAAGTAAGTAAGTAAGTAAGTAAGTAAGTAAGTAAGTAAGTAAGTAAGTAAGTAAGTAAGTAAATAAGTAAGTATGTGTGTATGTATGTAAGTATGTTTGTTTGTTTGTGTACTTATGTGTATTTATGCGCATGTACGTGTATGTGTGTGTGTGTGTATGTATATGCATGTATGTGCATGCATGCGTGCGTATATGTGTGTGTATGTGTATGTTTGTGCATGTCTGTGCATGTATGTGTACGTATGTATGTTTGTCTGTATGTATGTACGTACATATGTATGTATGTATGTATGTACGTATGTATGTTTGTCTGTATGTATGTACGTACATATGTATGTATGTATGTATGTATGTATGTGTATATGTGTATGTATGTATGTATGTATGTATGTATGTATGTATGTATGTATGTTCACAACCATATACACCTGCGCGCACACCCGTACTGATCGAATGTGGGATCACGCGGAGCGCTGCATTCCAAGAGCCGTTGTTTACGGTCCACCTTTGCAGAAGCGCGTTCTTGTCTCGCTAAGCATGTCAGGTCCTCCCCAAGTACGGCATCGAAGCCACAGAGAAGGGTACTTCCATCATGGCCGCGTGCTGGACCCGGTCTTTCATGCAATCCTTGCTTCTGACAGACTTCAGACTGGTGCTTAGAGGGGACGCAAGAAGAGGTGGATCAGCTCCGCTCAAAACGGTATCAAGGACGTCGACGTCTTGCCGGCTGAAATTTGATAGGTCTTGCTACGCCATGTCGCCTCTTGGCAGCCTGTGATCATTGTTGTTTTGCTGCCAGGACAAGGTCGCAGCCTCCATGCACTTGAGCCGTATTGCTTATGCATCCAAGCTCCCCTTGGCGAAGAACAAGGCGAAGGAGGCCTTGCAGCAGCCGACAAGTGAACGCCGCAAAACTTGGCCGACATCGGGGTAGTTAAGCGGCAGATGAGACAGATCAGCAGATCAGTGCAGGCTGTGCCGACACCTGCGCAAACACCCCAGACGCAGGCCACGGCCATGTTGCTCAGGGATCCGGTGTCATTCCGTCCAGCACGTGCAACCGAAACCTCTGGGTATCCTTGGTGTGCCAGTCCGTGGCAGTGGAGCGTGCGCCTTTTCCCGAGAAGAAGGCCGTGCCCGAGCTTTTCTTGTCGTCGTGGCCCTACGGAAAGCGCTCTGGTGCAAGCCCTGGAGGCGTCGGCGCCGCCGGGAAAGCCTCCACCTGCGGTCACTCAGACAGCATGCTGCGCATGCGTGCGAACGTAAGAGGGTGCAAGTTTGAACGGTGTCGGGGCAGGCAAACCAGCCCAAATCGTTTTGTTGCATTGAGGCACCGCCAAAGGCCACTCCCTTAGGTGTGGCCACCCCACCTGTGGCGCATCGCGCTCAGTGAAGAGAGAGGATGACGAAAAGAGCGAAAATGCAAGCGAGCAAGTTTACACTGCCTTACAAAGTTTCAACCAGTACATACATTCGGCCCAATTTCTCGCAGAATTTTTACGGAGTGCTCAGTGGTCTTACATCACCTGGCGATATGAGGTTTGGCTCCCCACCCTGGCAGCCCGCGGCACCACGACTGCATACACTTCAGCCTTCAGCCGATATTTGGGACTGCATGGTCAGAGTTCGTGTCCCTTTAGAGCAGAGTGAACGTCGTTTTACTCCGAGAAACGTCTTGCTTGTCCTGCCAGCCACTTCGGCTCGAGTCGAAGCAAAGCAGCACCTCACAGCTGTTACCCCCTTGTGCGGTCTGACTTGAACATGCCGAGGCAACAATCCTGCGGTTCAGGTGTTCGGGTAGATCCGATTCGGTTGAGCCTGTTCTACTGCTGTTTTGTGCTCTGACACAAACAGAACAGTCGCTGGAGGCACAGCAACAGCTACGCGTGCGGAATGGATATTCCGGAGGTGGGTGACAGATTTCTTGAATTCAAGTAGTCCGGAAGACGTGTCTGCAGAAGCGACCCGGTCTAGGTGGCCTTCGACAAGCGGTGCCGCCGTTCTTCGCACCGGCCAATGGGCGGAACCAAGGCCTTCAGGGCTGGCAGAGAACTTCTAAGCCAGTTCGGAGGCAGTTCGATCGGAGCGGAGGGGGCAAACGGCCGTGTTTCTTTGTGTCGCTTCACGTGAGCTACGTTCACCTGCACTTGCAGTGTCAGCAGGTGCAGAAGCATCCTGGAAAGCCCCTTGCATGCGTGAATGTAATTCGTTGGGATGGTGTCATGGTGTGCGTAGATGTCTTAATCGCCGAGCCCCAAGTCAGGCAATCACTGGATCTTGAACGAGGAGTCCATCTCAGTAGCATTGATGAGACTTGGGCCTGAGTCAAAGGATGCTGGGCCGTTATTCTGCTGTTGCAAAGTGCTTCACAGAACTGAGGAGCACGAGTTCTGGTACGAGTCCGACGATCAGGAGGTCTCGGATCAAACCACGGCATCGCCTGAAGCTGAAGAGGAGGCAGAGGAGGCTGGAGGGTAGAAAAGGCTCGGAGTTAGCCGTCGTCCAATCGTCCAGGACGACTTTGATGAGAGTGGCTGGGACTTTGTAGCAGAGCCTGTCAGAGAGGACGGCCAGGGTGCTCATGAACTGTTGTTGCGTAACACAAGTAGTGTGCGCAGGGGCAAGTCCGTCGAACGACGCACTAGCCACAGCTACTTCAGGCTTGCGTCGCTCGAAGTTTTTCAGAGCTTCCTATAGTACTCCTGCCGGCACCATTGGTACACCGCGTCCGAACTTGCGGCGGCCGTCTCCATCCTGGAAGATGCCGTCGATGCTGGCGTGGACCTCGCCCTCCACTTTGGGCATTGGTCTCGCCTTCAGCGTCGGACGCTGGCGATGGCCGTTGGAGGAGCGGAAGCGGCGTGGGCCGATGCCACGGCCAAGGCGGCCAGCGGAGGCCCTGTCATCCGCGATTTTTCAGGAGAACCTATGTCGTCGGCTACCTTGACGGCATCTATCTAGGACATTAAATTTTCAGGTGGGTAGTTACCGTTATAGGAGCCTTATTGTAGGTCTATATACCGTCTAGAAGCCTTATAGAAGCCTTTTATACCCCAAACTCCACACCTTCCTTTGAATCTACGACGCAGCCGGCTCCGGAGCCACCGGCTGCTGGCGATCGTGCGCCGGAAGGCGCAGGAGGACCTGGCACAGCAGGGACCGGCGTGGGCAAATCGCCCCCGCCGGCGATCAGCACCAGACCGGCTTTACCTCGGAGGGCCAGGCACCAAGCGCCAGAACGGATGGGGCTACGTCGTCCGCATCGGCACCCAGGTCTTCTACGACTGCGGCACGGCCTCGGCGGAGTTCCTCGACCTGTTCACGGCGACGAAGGCTTTCATCTACGTGCTGGAGATCCTGGCGCAGGTGCGGGCGTTGGTCACGTTGTCCCGCTGGCTTCCACAGAGGTGACTGGCGTTCATCGACAACGTCCCTGGTCAGTGAGCCCTGACGAAAGGCTATGGAAAAGACCCAGCAGTCAACGGCGTCCTAGCGGCCGTTTGGTCCACCGCGGCGCTGGTAGACCGGCTCCCTGCTGCGTCGTAGTCTCCTAAGCCCCCGCTTGGTTAATAAGAGCGAGAACGCCGAGGCAATAGTCGGTTTTGTGCCGTTTGTTGTGATATGCTTCGCTGATCGTTGAGGCGACGGAGCATCACAGCTTCTCGCTGTAGGGGTGACTAGTTCACGCTCGCCCGCTTGACGGCTGACTCAGTCCATGAGTCTATGCGCTTGAATGAATGAAAAAGCGATGCAGTCTCCCGGGGAAACTTGGAGATGGCACGGCGAATGGGGTGGACCAGAGTCCCAACGCCGGTGCGGAGGTCGCGGCGGACGAGCTGGTGAATCTGGTAGTGTCAGGGGCTGCTGCGCAGAGTGGGGGCGGGGAGCGCCAGGCGGGATGCGGAAAGCGTCCAAGGCGCCGTGCAGTCCTGCTCCGGCGAAGGCGACGGACCCGGCGCGATGCGTTTCCTACCACTCGAAAGAAGGGTCAGTCCGTCGTACCGTTCAAGGAATGCATGTCGGGTGTCGAACTTGTCGTGTAACACATGTAATGTGTGCAGGGACAAGTCCGTCGAACGACGCATACGCCGCAGCTGTTTTTCAGAGCCCACCCTATCCTCCCGTTTGGTTTATTTTGAGACTTGTGGGTCGTCGCTCGCTGGCGCCGGGATGCGGAAAGCGTCGTTGCCGCGGTGCAATCCTGCTCCGGCGAAGGCGACGGACCCGGCGCGATGCGCTTCCTACCATTCACAACTAACAAGGATCAGTCTGTCGTACCGTTTTGCGAGTGTCGAACTTGTCTCCTCTTTGGAGTTAGTGCGTGCGACGATGCAACATGCGATACTGGCCATACTCATACCAAGTGGCAGTACAACCGTAAATTTGGCTGCGGAGGAGGCGAGGGAGGAGTGGCCTTCCTTGCAAGGCTGGCTGCTGTGGGCTGTGGGGCTAGTGGGAAATTCGATTTTCCACGTAGAGATTGAAACTCGTTTTGTTTTCCCGAAGTTGGTAGGAAATTCAGCCTTGGATGCATTGGAGACGATGAGCATGGCCTGTGGCTCGGCTTCAGCTGAATTTCAAGCTGTCCACTCAGCACCCTGAGGCCAGCGACTTGACGTTGTGCTCCTGGGTGGACGTTGCTGATGAGGCGTGGAAGAGCAGGGCCTGATTGGCTGGCTCCCAGAATTCAAGCTCGTGGCCAGGAGAGCGAGGTTGTTTCACCGCAAGCAGCCCCCACCTGGGCCGCCCGCCTGGGCTCCAAGACTGCAAGAAGAGGACCATGTCATCCCGCAGAGAGCTCGGTTCATCAGGCTGAGGGATGATGGAAGGACCAAGGACATCTAAGGAGTTTTACCCACAGGTCGCAAGCTGCGCAAAAATCGTTAAGTGTGAAAAAGGTGGCAAGCTGCTAGAGACAGACCCACACCATGTTGATCGCTTGCATGGTGTCGAGTGAGAGAGTATGACTGTTGAGTGAGTGGGCACCTGGGTAATCGAAGGAGTTAGTGAGCGAGTGGTTGTCGCATTTGTACACAACCGCCATCATTCGCACAACGATCAGCACAAGACGAAGTCTGGCATGCAGGCACAAGCACCGCGCCACGGCCTTCCAAGGCAGGTGCTGTTTGGTGCAATTGCAGGGTTACGAAAGCTGGCTCTGACTTTGGATTTTCTGTGGCAGTTCCAGTTAAAGTCCTTGACAGGCCTAAGCCCAGGACAAACTCATGTGATTCAGACGCCAATCGCGAATCACGCGTGGGCTCTGCCACAGCCTCAGGCGGCACTGCCCTGGGCCCATCGGCGTCCGAGGGCTCGAAACGCGAGCATCGTGCCGGAAGGCAGAATCTCGCTTGGGGGCTCAGAGCACGCAGGTTTTGTTTTCTTCCGACTTGTCGAGATCATGACGACATCGAAGATGCAGCCGATGTCGCGGCGCTCCGCTCCTGGAATAAATGGCAGAAGTCAAGCCGAAACACCAAGGCCAAAGCAGCATAAGCTGGTGAAGAGGAAGAATATGTATCAACGACATGACATGTTTTGCCGAGGGCTGCTACAGTATGGGGTCGCTGGCACAGACCACAAGCAGCTGCAGGCCATGCAGAAGACCGCGGAGAAGATCCATCGCCGATTCGAGCAGAGCCGGCGTGCCAAGGCCGAAGTCCGTTGCTCCTTCAGGAGTAGAGTCCCGTTCTACGGGTAGCTCACTGCGCCTGTTTTGCAGGGAGACGAGCTATGAGAGGATACAAAAAGCTGCCGACTGGCTTAAGATGAGGTAAAGAGTGAACTGACTATCCTTGCCAGCGACGAGCATCCGAAGATTGCATATGGCCAAAGATGGGTCATGCCAGGTCGAGTCATGTAGGGGCTGGTGTACTTGCCGTCGCGACCGACCTTCTTAAGCCAGAAGGCGCTTGTCCTGCTCGACTTTGTACATAGCCAGGCCCAGGAAGAAACCTCATGCTACCAGTGCGACTCTGCGCACTGCGGCGGGTGTCAGGAGTGCAGGGCAGCTAGAACACCAGGAGACACCACGCTCGAGGCGTGGATGGGGCCAATACATTTTAAAGAGCAGGGTATTTCTTCAGTACTTCAGTAGCTTTTGGTAATTGAGACCAGCTGTCCGAAACCGAGCAGACGGTCTGAGTTTGCAAGAGACCTGCAGCTCGAGCCGTTTTGCAAGAAGAGGCACCCCGTCCCGCAAGGATTGCAGTAAGCTCAGGAAGGTAAGGGACAGGCTGCGCCGAATTCACTGCCGAGGAACGGGCTGGGTATGGAGGTGCTGTACAGACTCTTGCCCGACTGGCCGACTGCAAGGTCTTAATCACGAAATGTTGCTTCGCCACATGCGGAGCTTCCAGCCGTATCCAGCCGTCACAGGAGGATGTACTTTGAGACGGAGACACTGAAAGTCGCTGCACTGCTGGAAGCTGCGTTGCAAAGCGTTTGATGCCGGGACGGGCAAAGCGGCCTTCTCTTCCCCTGGCTCTGCCAAATGAAGGGTCGCTGCCATGTCACGTAGTGTACAGCCGTGCAGCCTGGGAAGATGCTGCCGCAAACGCAAAAGTCCGGCAGGTGTCAGGCGTGTGGCATATGTTATAACACCTGGCTCAACGAGTCTCCTTGATATCGGAAGCAGGTTGAGTTGCCTATGTTCTTGGCAGACCGGTATTCCATCAAACCGATGTATGTCCGCCGAGGTTGAGAAGGAGGAGAAACCCGTGGAGAAGAAGGAGCCTCCAAAGCCAAAGCCGAAGCCGAAGGAGGAAAAGCTTGATGCTGAGCATCGCAGTCATCACTCACTGCTGAAGCTTCCGTTGTGGGATGAATGGCAGACGCCAGTGTTGCAAGGCTTTGTGCCCTGTCATGCCTGCAGAATGTTGTTTGGAAGAGTTAGCGGAACCCGAACTCAGGCCTCCGCAGGCACTGACGGTGACACTTACCAGGCTGATGGTGGCGCTGCATCTCCGTTTTCTCGCCTGTCTCTAGCATCTGCCGTTGCCGCCGCTTTTGCAGTTATCTTCACGTTGCTATTAGCATGTGCCAGTGGCAAAGCCAGGTTCAGTACCTGGGAAGACCCGACTCCACAGAGGCAGCTGTCGTGGAGGCTGCTAGGGCTCGTGCTCGCGTGTTCGCCACAGGTTCCAGGTGGAGCTTATGTCCAACACCAAAGTTTCGGAGCTGCGAGCGAAAATCGCAGAGGCAAGGCAAGTTTCTGGCAACAGCATTCCCTTGGTCCTCTCACCACTTGCAGCACTGTACCCCATGTCACCATGTAATTTGGTTCAATCAACCGACTTGAACTGTCGGACGCATCACTTGATGCTGCGCTTCTTTCGCCCTCGTTTTGTTCTCTGCTCAGCATGCTCAGTTTACTTCTACATGAGATCCTTCATGTCCCCGGCATTGATTGGCCGGTTGCGCTCCTGCATACCTCCCTGTTGCTGACAGCTTTGTGCACTGGACGACTCCGAGACCCGGAAAGTGAAGCTCATCAAGAGGACGGCTGACTGCAAAATCGAGCATGTTGCAAGCTTCTGCAAGCATCGCAAACTGCGCTTTCGATCTGTGCCAGGAAAAAAGCTGGCTTCGTGACCGCTCAGGCCACCGGCTAGTTAAGCTGCCACCTCTCTTGTAAGTACTTGAACTTGCCTGTAATCTATGTTTACAATCTCAGGAGACGGAGAGTGTCTCCAGCGAAGTCTTCGTCCATCAGATTGAAAAGCCAGCAGCCTCAGCTTGAAGAGTGCCGAGGTGCTTGAACTGCGTTGTGCGACTTCATCGCTGCGACTGGATTCTGGTGGGCTAAGGTGGCCGAAGTGAATCGCTTCACCTTTTGGCGCATTGATTGTGTGGATTGTATGAATAATTCGTTTTTGCATCTCATCCGATACGACGGATTGCTGTGAGCGGGGCTTTGAAGGGTCTCCGAGATCTTTCGTCCTGCTGCCAACGCAGTGTGGGCATCTTTTCGCATGGGGGTGGCCCGAGATGCCAACTCTTAGAAGCCTTGCAACTCCTTAAGATTCCTTGTAAGATGCAAGAGGAGCTCTGCAGCCCCCACAACTTCTCACAGACTAGCGACTAGAAGCAGATCGTCACTTGCTCGCTCCTGCCTCCCCGATGCTCAAGAGCACGGCAAGCCCTGGACAGCGATGGCAGCAAGTAAAAGAATCGAAACAAGTATACGGAGTAGGATACATTGCGGGCCATAGGGCACGCATGCGCACACAGTTGGGCAGGATCAGGGCACGATCAGCCAAGCAGTCCAGGATCGCTGCTGGCTTTGTTTTTTTTTGCGAAGACCGGATCTCAAACTGGGATTGGTCGGACTGGACGCCTTTCCGGTTGATCCGTGGCTGCAGGCTGCAGGGTGTCTGTGCCATGGATACCTGTGAGCTCCTTGGCTTTCAGCTGGATTTTTTCTGCGCTCAGCTTCGGCCCTCAAGCATGCACAGCTTCGACTGCAAGCTGCAGCATGCATGAGGTGCTCAAAGAAGTACTGAAACCTGCTAGATGCTGGCTGTAGAAGTGCTTTGGCCAGCTCTGCCGGTTGGACTTTTGGTTTTCCCAGATGGGCTCTTCCTACGATTGCCCCTCTCTCTTACTCTTCCAGCTGATGCCCCTGCTCGGTTGCACGTGAGAGCAGATCTTACCGTATCAGATGGCCCACAACATGAGCATCATCTGCTGCGATTTGCAACACAGCTGCCGGCATGTTTTCCACTATTGATGCTGGTTTTGTAAAGATCAGCCAGCAGATGCTCCGCGTGAGTCGTTGCTACTCCAGAGCATTTCCCGTCTTCACGGTACTGCGACAAACTACCCAAGGCCCCGTGATGGTTCGAAAAGCTGGTCCAGAACTGAGGTTTTGTATCTCCGCAGCCTCAATGACTTCGGCTTGGTGCACCATGCAGCGAGAGATGGCTGGATGGGAGCACTGCATCGCATCCGAAACCGTGAGCCGGTGCGTCATCGGTACGGTGATGTCCTAAGTAGTCTCTGGTAGTCTTCTGCCATGTCTGTGCCATCCCGGCCAGTGCCGAGCTCAGAGCCTTCTTCGGTGGTCTGCCGGGAGCGTGCACGGGCTGCGAATTTTGCTGCAGTCAATCCGACTGCTCAGTGCCAGCAACGTGCCTTTCTCTGGGGGGCGTACGTGAGCACCAAACGAGGTCTCCGAAGCCCCCCAGCCCCAAGCAGCGCATCTCAGGTCAGGTGCTGTAAAGCCGCGAAGCTGCCCAGATAGCTAACGACTGTCAAGAGTTTAAGATATGCCAGAGGGTGGCGACAGCTAAGATATGTGGAGACTTATAACCAAGGATCGCGTTTTACTTCAGACTAGGGCCGCCTGTGCGGAAGGAAGCTTTGATACTTTTGATTGTGGGGCAGGCAGCGTGACCCTGCAGCTGACCCGAAATCCAGACGATTTTTTCCATTGCAAGGACCACATTCTTAACTTTGAGGCTGGATTAGGGGAGTGTCTTCCGAAGGCGAGGTCCAAGAGATGATCGGCAGCCAGCTTCCAAGAAAAGCAGCGGAGCTGAGTGCCAAGAGACCTGTGCTTAGCCTGACCTCACCGCGGCTGAAGAGTTCAGCCATGAGGAATTTTGCCAAATCCGAGCAGCTGAGCAGCTGTGCAGAGCCTTTTCAGCTGAAAGGCCCATGGGAGATGGCTACCTTCCAAGAGAGACGTCTGCGAACAAGCGGATGCAAAGCGGTGATTGTTTCCCCCACGTCGCATGGTGAGCCTTCAGTTGAGTGCGAAGGATGAAAGATGTGACGCCTTGCTGCTGTAATCAGAGTTGCATGAGGTCGGGAGGTGGTTTTGACAAAATTTAAACGGGAAAGATCCACAGTGGTTACTTGATTAAACTTCTGAGATACATGAAAATTTTAAGTGGGCCGTTGTTGGTAAGCAGAACTGGCAATGAGGGATGAGCCTAACGTCGGGCTAAGGTGCTTCAGGCCGCCAGAGTCTTTCTGAAGCATCTTTCTGAAGCTTGCAATCCTGTGCTGGGATCAAGTTTCAGGTTTGTCACGTGCTTCCCAAACATGGCGCTGTGACTGCACATGGACCCCTGGATCCAGGCCGATATTGCGGCTCAAGCCAGGCTATGGGAGAAGGGCCGAAGACCGAAGCCGGCCAATAATGAAGTTCTGGATGCTCTTTCTGGGCCCGAGCCTTGCATTGAGATTCTGTCATACAAACTTGAATCATGCATCAGGGCAGCAATGCCGAGGTTGCTTGCGACTGGCAGTGGCCGTGCTGAACTCGGCCTGCCTCAGATTGAGAGATGCTGGTGACTTGGCAGATGGCAGAGACTGGTAGTGCAGGATGGCCAGGAGGAGCCCGCAGCCACAAGGCAGGGCAGTTGGCTTTCGGCACAAAAACGGAAAAGGCCGCCTTGCCCCACACAGGCTTCGGTATCAACAGTTTTCATCGCAATCGTCGCACTAGTAGACCTAGTAGTCAAGAATGTCGTCATCGTCGTCGTTTTGTCCATATTCGCTGTGGCGACGGCGAATAGCGTTGAATCGAGAAGCAGTGGTACAAGCAGTGGCGCTCGATTGTGGTAGACGACGGCGAATGTCGTAGTTATGGTTTAGTGGTGGTGCTGCTGCCGCAGCTGCACCCCCAACCCTACAAATATCAGGGTTGGCAAACCCCAAGACCTTATGGTGGCGAGTCCCGGAACCTTAGCAGAAGATGCCTGCTATTGTTCCTACTTACGACCACCTTCACTAGCACCAGCACTGGCACGAGCACTAGCACTGACCCAGCCACTGCCACTTCTACCTCCACTGCTGCTGCTACTGCCTACTGCTGGATACTTACTCCACTCTCTCTCGCTCGGTCGCTGGCTCTCTCTCTGTCTGTCTCTCTGTTCTCCTATCATCGGTTAAGTGGTCTGGGACATGACTGCATGTTATCTGCAGCCTGTTCAGGATGTGTTGAATGTGAGATCTTCCCGTGGCCATGGGTGGAGGCGATCGCCTCGAAGGTCCGGGAAGGATCTGTTTTGTGCGACAGGCTCTAGGGCCTGGGATCTGTGCAATGGCTGGTTGGGTTCCGGACGGCTGGGAGACCCAAGCTCGGGGTCAGGGCCGCGATGACCAAGTTTATCGCCGTGATCGCGGCCAAGGCGGAGGATATGGAGGCGGACATGGTGGCGGTTGCCGTCGCAATGACGACCGTCGCCGCGGAGGGATGGTCAACCCCTACGAAGTTCGCCTCCCTCACTTCCTGGAGTATTTGGGTCGATCGCCGAGTGTGAGGACAACGATCGGAAGACATCCATCATCATGGCGGATACCAGAGACGAAGGCATTGTCTCGCCGTCTCAGGCCTGGTTGGTGAGAGAGATCATGACGAACTCCTCCAGTTCGATCAATGTTTTCACTGCAAGGGATCAGGTGATGCCACCTCAGTTAGGTTTTCACCTGTCCCTTTTCGCCAGCTTCACGCTCGATGGAGTTAAGGTAACAGTGACTGTGGCGATATCGGTCGTTTCGCAGACGGGAGCTTTCTGTGGCGGCTGGGATCGAACCACGGCCAAAGCTTTCAGCCAAGTCTCAGCCAAGTAGCTTTCCAGCCCGTCTCGTGGCCCGTCTTGAGCGACACCTCGCCGTCCTGCACGGACGTGAAGATCTACAACGGGAACGAGATCTTGTTCCAGAGGATGTTTCCGCACAGACACCGACCTCTCCGTCCAGCAGCAGTTCGCGTATGACTTCTTCATTCTTGGCACTTGTTCTCTTTCGAGTGCGGTGGTCGTACATTCTCGGTCGGACACAATGGAAAGGTGGTCGCCGGGGATAGTGTCGTTCGCACTTTGAGCTCCGCTCCGCGTCATGGACCGCTCGTCTGAGGATGCGGTCGGGAATGATGCTGACAGAGTGGAGTTTCGCTATCGCGACTCGACTGAAGTGCGCTCGCACTTCTGTGCCGGCTACCTGGTTGACGGTGTCGCATCTCAGCGGCCCGACGCTAATCCAGACCATCACTCGGTGCAGGGAGCAGCGTGCTCGCGTGGAGCCCCGAGCAGACGGAGCAGTTCGCCCAGCTCGCTGCTGCTCATCAGCGCTGGTGGCACAATGCTTCGACGCTGGATCCGGCGAATGTGGGGGAGTCCACGTCACGTTCGTGGCTGGACTGGATGCAGGAAATTTCCATGTTCAGGCCCAGAGCAAGCTCGTTGTTCGCGAGCCGGAGATCTGGCGCTCGCCGAGATGAGGCATGAGGGGGCAGCCCTGGCGCCTGTTCCGAAAGGCCTTCCGGCGCTCGCGCAGAATGTTTGGGCTGCCGCTTCTGAGTCAGCCCAGGCAATCGCCGATGTCCCTCAAAGTGCTGGGGAGGTGGGCTCTTCGTCGCCGAGCTCAGCACGACAGTCAGGACAGGGCGTTCGCCTCAGTGAGGTCATGTCTCGGACCCAGCTCGGGGTGCCGCTTCGTTCTCCAGGCAAGCTCCCGCCGCAGACGTTCGCGGAGATGACGGGTCCTGGCTCGGCCCGGCTTCTTAGGTGCTGCTCAGCAGTCCACGGTCGTGGTCCGCAAAGTCATCGAGGCCGAGCCCCTAATCTGATGGCGCCGATCGGAGAGCCAACGTCGTTCAGGCGCCACAGGACGCCGTAGTTCGGCTGCGCAGGCGATCGCCCCAGTTTTGATTTTTGGGTGGTCGCACAGGCGATCCAGCTTCGAGCGATTTGATTTGCAAAGCTCCCGCCTATTGGCTGGCTCCGACCTTACTCGAGACAGCCCGCTCAGCTCGGGAAGAGCAAGAAAAGAGCAGGACAGCGTGAGCACGCGAAGTGATTTCTGCAGTCTGTTCTTTCACAGCAAGTTCTTTGAGTTAGGCTGCAGCAGTTCTTGCACATGTTCATGTCATGCAGTCTTAGGCCTTCACTGACATGTTCTCTGCACAGTGACATGTTCATGTCAGTGTTGATTGTTCTTCCGACATGTCAGCGCGCAGCTCCGTGTGACAGTTGGCAACATGTTCTCAGCTTTGGTCTTGCTGTCGTACATTCGTGCCGTTCGTTCGCTCTTCTCCTCCCAAAAGGGGTGGGCGGTGCGTGCGAGTCTCTTACTGTGTCGCGGGTCGATCTGTTGTCAAGTGATCGATTCTGTGCCTGCGGTTTCGCGGCCTAAGTTCTAGGCAGCAGGAATGCAGCAGGTCGCAGCGCCACGTGGCGATGGACGGCAAAGATCCTTGCGTATCCAGGTTTCGACTCTCCGTTCGTGGAGGCCCTCATGGGCACACGACTCTCTAACCTTCAGGTCGTGCTCGCAATGGAGGTCGATTCTCCAAGCATGCTATAGCTGGCAAAGCGTGCGAGTGGACAGCAAAGCTCGCGCCGGTGGCGCACGAGGTTTTTCACCCCAGACCACACACGCTTGAACCGTTCTGGATCTTCGCTACGGCATCCTAGCAGTCTTCTCTGAGGGGCTCGGTTACCAGATGGGCTTTGCTCGATGTGAGAAAGTTCCTCGGCAAAGAGATGCCCGGTCGATCGCGCAGTTCCAGGGGGGCATGGCGATCCGTGCTCTCGCTGCACCAGTTCTGGCGCCCAAGGCGAAAACGTCGTTCAATACCGCCACGGCTTCGAGCTCTTCTACCTCTCTCTTGGATCTGAAGAACGCAGAGAAGCAGAAATGGGCAAAGCGATTGAGATCGATCGCGGAGAGAGTTGGTGATCATGCGAAGCCGCCGGCAGCCGCTGAGAACGAGATCTTGTCGCCGGAGGAGCGGGCAAGCCTTCAGCTCTTAGTGTTCACTTCGGGGGCTCCCTCCACCGTGGCGAACCATATTCGTCGCTTTGCGAAATTCGAAGCACGGGCTCACAGGGCATCGATCTCGTTGTATCCTATCACGATGACAAGATCCTGCAGTGTGCCATGGAGCTAGACTCTGGTCGTGACTGCGGTCCGACGGTCATTCCTTCCTTGAGAATGGCTCTTCGCTGGGTGGCCTTTCGGACCAATATTTCTATGCCGTCGATCGATGCGGCTCCTCTTCAGGGTTTCGAGCATCGGACCATCGTCCCAAGTACTTCGTTCGTCGTGATCGGTCACTCTTTTGGTTTGGTCTCGGCGGTGTACAACTACGACCGCCGTTCGGCAGCCTTGAACGATGTGTTCACAGGCCTGTTGAAGATGGTGTCGTTCAACTTCTATGACGATCAATATGGCTTTGGGACAGATCTCACAGCTCCTCCGACCAAGGTCGTAGCCGAGACGGTTCATTTTCTTTTGGGATCATCTTTTGATCAAGAGAAGCTTCAGCTCTCTACCTCCCCAGTGATCTTGGGGGTTACCTTCAACGTCGAGGAATTCCCAGGAGATCAAGGAGGAGAGGAAGTCTGAGCTGATGGATTCGATCGACGCGATCCTCGGGACTGGCGCTCTGGATCATGGGACTGCTGGGAAGGTCACAAGAAGCACATGTTTGGAGTTCTTTCGCCCTCTTTCGGAGCGACAGAACTCGCAGCTGCTCAATGATGCACTCAAGCCCTCGCTTCTCTACTCGCGAGGTCTGATTGAAGGGGGAACCGCTGCGGGCTCTGAAGAGAGCCGATGTGGTGATCTTCTACCCGAGATCGCCGTAAATCTGAGTGCGGATCTGATCGGGTAGGCGCAGTCATCTTCGATCGGAGAGGCGATTCGCCGAAACAGTTCACCGCCGTGATCCCCGAGGAGATTTCGAGGGAGTGGATGCCGAGGAGGACACAGATCGTTCCGATTTAGATGATCGCACCGATTTGTTAGTTAGCTCTTGAAACTTTTCGCGATCACGTTCGCAATAAAGATGTGATCTTGCTGATTGATTCAGAGGCCGTGTAGAGGCTTCCTTGGTCAAGGGTTTCTCTTCTAAGGCATTCTAAGGAGGATCTCTGCGAGCTCGCTGAACTCTTTTGGGAGTTCTCGGACAAGTACCGAGTTAATTTCTTCATCGATCGTGTTTCAACTGCTGGTGCGAATCCAGCCAATTGGCCGTCTCGAGATCATCTTGAGATCTGCGAGACGGCCGGAGACAGTGATGTGCTGTTGGCCGCTGCGTTCGCATGAAAAAGTTTGTGGGCCTGGGAGATGCTCGGGTCTTGAGGGTCGGGAAGACTCGTTCGAGACTTCGGCGGTTGGTCCCGCGAAGGTTGTACCAATTGTTCGGTCGAGCATTTCGCTACTGACTGCTTCGTTCGGAGGAGTCGGTGGTCGGGGTTGCGGCTCGGGACTCTCGCCCTTTTCGGTCGTCTGATGCGCGATGTGCCGCTCGACCCCATGCCAGAGTGGTCCAAAATGTGCTCCATGCCACTCTGTGCTTTTGGCCGCTGATCAGTGACAGTGAGTTCTCTCGAACATACATGCAGGTAGTGTTGCCACAGTATAATCGTAGCGGTCTGACTGTTGCTTGCCTTCGTCAACTAAGCCTAATGTGGAATGTATAGTACAATATATAAAATACGACAAACAACATATTGTTTGAGCAGAGCATGTCGAGGTGCCAGAGTTACAACTCCTACAGAGCATCGCCAATCGGCACGATGCCACGGCAGCCCAGGTTGGTGGACTCTCTTCTTGGCTTGCCCTAAACCTCTAAGGTTCGGGGGTTTTGGCAAACGAGCTCGAGTGAAAGAGGTGGCTTTGCGATGGAATCTGCAGCGCGGCCATTGCATCGTTCCGAAGAGCTGGTGGCCTCAGAAAGGGTTTCGGGTCAAGTAGGAATAGCAAGGGTGCCAAGGCCTCAGGATTGTTTCCATTGTTTCTGATGTGATGACAGTGCAGTTTTGGTAAAACAACTTAGTATGAGACGGAGCCTCTCAGACCGAAATCATGTCGTCAGGAAGAACAGACGTGGACAAGGATTCGTTCATCCCAAAAAGCGGAACCCAGTGAAGTTGTCCTCAACAGCTTTACCTGCAATCTCCCCACTTTAGAGTTGGCAACAAAGGAGCAAGAAGGGGCAAGGTGGATCTTCATTTTTTGGGATTTTGCCTTTGAGTCGTTTGGCCCGTCGCCCGGGTGTGAGGGGCAAGGCATCGTGCAAGCGCATGAAGAAGGGCAGATAGTGGTGCAAGATCCTAGCCAGGCAAAGACCATCAGCGGTGCAGCCATTCTTTAGTGTTCCAGAGGTGGTTTTTGTGTGTTCCGGGAAAGCCTTCTGAATGCTTGGCAGATGCGACAATGTGCTCCTCCTGAGGCTGCAGCCCCTGAGACAGGATCGCTTGCGCGGCAAACGTTGAGAGAGAGACAAGGAAACAGAGCGAGGTGTCCTTAACAGATCCATCTTCAACCTCGAAAGGGGCCACTCAGACTGACAGGCCGGCGCGGACCGAGTTGGGGTTGGCCGGGGGGTTCGCCCCCACCCCCAGCAAGCAAGTAAGCAAGCGGGAGAGAAAGGTAGCCCCTCCCCAAGCCCGCGGGAAGAGTTTCAGAGAGCGGGGTGGTTGCCAGAACGTTTTCTGGAACGTTTTCTGGAACGCTTTCTGGAATGCTTTCGGAATGCTTTCGGAACGCTGTCTGAACACTTTTTCCTGGGTTTTAGCACTTTGCAAAAAGCATTCCAAAAGTGTTCCGTAAAAACGTTCCGAAAGTGTGCTTGCACAGCCTCCTCGTTCTGAAAGTGTTCCCCAAAGCGTTCTGGGATCCCTCCCCTCCGCTTCTCCGTGCCTCAGGAGCAGTCAGTCATGGGCCCACCCGCGCACGTCAAACGTCCCCCTACAACATAAGCCAAAATATCACCAGATTAGATGGAAAGAGTTCGGAATACAACCGGGAAATACTCTTAGAACTCTATATGGAACACTATTACTTGAAAACAGATGAACCCCTCCTTTCCCTGATTTGGAATCTTTTTTTGATAGTGGAAGGTAAAGTTCTTGATTTTCGGATTTTAAAAAGATGGAGGATCTCTGCGCTGCTGTTTTTGTCGCATACTCGCAAGGCTGCTATCGGGCCTAGCCCGCAAAACTGACCGCACATTCAGTCGGAATGCTGAGGCTGGAATCCCAACCACATCCTTGAGAACACAAAGCTGTTCAGTTTTAAGCTCACCATGGAGGCCTGCATGACTCGGGAGAGCGCAGGAGAGCGAAGGAGTTGGCTATCTATCTCTCCATCCATGAATATCTATGCGTATACGGGTACATACGTTCACATGAAGTTCTGAAGGCATGTATGCCTCCCAAACCCCCATCCCTGCATCCGAGAGTCACACAGGCTGAAAACTCTCTGTTTCCTTGTTCGGGACCCCAAACCCTAATCCGCATGTAGCATAGTACATATTGTATGTATATGTATGTATGTATGTATGTATGTATGTATGTATGTATGTATGTATGATTATGTANNACGACAGTAATCCATGCGCTAGCATGAACTTCCCCTATACAACCTTCTAAGTCGCAATCCAGGCCCCATGCCATAGAACCTTATACCTTACAGAGCCCGTTTAAGCCGCCTGTGCTAAGTTACCATCAGGAACAGCAAAAAGATGAATCATAGGGTTTCCTGGTTGTGACAGTTTACATTCAGTTCGAGCCCACGCAAGGGCCTGAAGCTACGCAGCTAGGGTTCTGGATTGAGGGGGTGGCTTTTGGGTTTTAGGGTCAGGGTTCAGGGTTTAGGTCTGGGGATTGTTAGGGTTGAGGCTGTAGAGATTCGGGTCTGGGTCTTTGGCGTCCAGTGTTGGGATTTCAACGCAGATTGTCTTTCCAGGCGAAGCTGTTTCAGGTGTTGCGGCCTCTGAAGAGCCCTCAACTTCTCAGACTCCTCAAGGCATGAAAGACCTGCGAACCGCCTCGTCAAAACCCACGAGATGGGAGGGTGCAAAGCCGCAGCACTTATCTATGCTTATCTCAAGCCCTCGAACCCCTAAAACGTAAACTCTCTGATCCCTTCGGCAACGTTAAACTCAGCCCAAAAGGAAACACAGCTCCTGCCACCGCCCTTGACTCCAAGCCGTAAAGCCATTTGTCAAAATATCAGTGGTATTGGTTCCTGAACTCGGTTGCTTCAGTTTCAATCGCGGCGCCGGCGCACGCCCCCTCCAGATAACGCTCAATGTTAACATGTTAGAGGATTTCTTATGACCAGGCGACGTGCTGCGGCGGTTTAAGCCACAGGAGTTCTCGAGCTTGATGCAGTCCATTACGACAGGCGGGCTGAAGGGCTGCCCCTTTCGGAAATTTGTGATTGCCACTGAGTTTTGGCGCACAGCGCCCCCACACTCCAAGCCTCAACGAGCCAAAACCATGGATATCGGTATGACATGGGGCTTCGGAAGCTTCCGCAAGCTTCTGTCAAATGGTTCCACACCGTGCAACTCCCTTAACCACGCAGAGATTCTCTCCTCAGCTTATGCTCTTGCTCGACTATGTTATGCAACGCTGGCTAAGTCAGTCCACCAATACTCCACACCCAAGTTCTTTGTCTTCATGTTCGACAACAGAGGTCCCAATCCGAAAAGCCAAACAGCCCCCCCTAACTCTTAAGCTACATCCAGGTTGTAGCAGCTTTGAGAACCGGGTGCCCTAAACCTGTACCCACAACCCTAAACCCTAAACCCTAAACCCTAAAGCCTAAACCCTAAACCCTAAACCCTCCTTGCAGGAGGCGTCCCCCTCCCGGGGCTCTTCGGTCGCTGTGGAGCTCCCGCGCTGAGGCGGTGAAGTTTAGGAGTTGGGGGTTAAGTGTGGCTTCATAGAAGTCATGGGGGTTAAGGGTGGCTTCATAGAAGTCATACGATTTACTTGGTAGTTTAGGGGATGAGAGGGATTTCGCCCAGGAGCACAGTGCATTCATGCTTGCAGGCACAGATAGACATCTAGCTAGAACACACACACACATAAACAATGGATAGATGGATAAATCAGTAAGTGCATAAACACCAACAAATATATATACGCATACATTAATGACCGTATTCATTTTTACTTATGTATTTATGCATGTTACGTTTTTTGCTTATTTGATTTTTGGAGCTTGTTTGATGTTTGTTTTGCTTCACGTCATTCGTCGCCTCCTTCTTTCTTCACTTATTCATTTCTTCTCCTGTTCAAGTGTTCAATCATTCATTTCTTTGTATAGGTACACAGACGCAAACTACGGTAGATGCACATGTATGCACGCCCACATGTACGGGCACCCGGAGCATGCTGTGCCCACGTCCAAGCATGCTTCGGCGTGCATGCGTCTACATGTATACAGGCATGCATATATGTATAGAAGTATATATGAAAGGAACATATACAAAGACTGTAGAGGCGCTTGTGTATGTGTGTATGTATGTATGTATGTATGTCTGTATGTCTGTATGTCTGTACGTATGTATGTATGCATGCATGTTGCTTATGTGTTTACTTATATTCATACTATCTATTGTTTACGTACTCTGCAGGAGATGGCCTCCATCACCAAACTGAATAAAGGGGCAGGGCCCTCAGCCAGAAGATGGGGCGTAGAAGGCGCTCGCGTGGTCAGCCTTTGCCAGGTAACCTAAGCGCCATGCAGTGCCATGTGCCGCGGGGGCATCAACCCTGCCAAGCTTCTGCAGACCACCCTTCCGAGCAGAGATGGGAGGTAAGAGGACATATTGTAGTAAACCGCATGTAAACCGCGACGAGAAGGGCGAGAGCCGAAACTAGCAGTTCTGACGAGTCCAGGCCCAGAAAACCCTCAACATCCCACTTCAAATCCATACCCCAAAACCCTGAGCCCCAAGCCCTAC